AAAAAAAAAAAAAAAAAAAAAATTATTAATTTATTAAGTTATTAAAAAAAAATGACCTGTTTTTGTCACAACTACATAGTCATCTGATAAAAGATAATGACGAATTGAGGATGAAGCCGATACTTTTGACGACGTTCGTCTTGCAAATACCAAATATCGTGATAGTACCTCCTATAGAGGAATTGCAGTATTGTTTTGGGAAATTAGTGACTGGCGTTCTGGAAATTTACAAACAGGTCACAGCGTGGGGACAACGTTACTATGATCTGAAATCTGGAAATGCCGTAGCAAGTACACAAGGTACGTTTCTCGCAGTAGAAACGAAAATAAGAAATTGAATGATTTTCCCCATTAAATGCAGAAAATAATGCAGTTCATCGGAGGAATTATTATCACATGATATCGGATCACAAGGAGATAGTGCGTAGCATAATGAGCCTGCAAGGTGCAATCTTTGCCGTAAAGCAAGACATCGACGAACTTGCCAATGTACTTTCACCAATTCTTTCCTTCCAATTTTGAATATAATGTGCAGACAACTCTCGAGTAACGTCACAGTAAAACGTGCAATAATCTAAAATATATTAAAATGTGTAATAATCTACAACATTCACTGCATGCCTATAGCAAGCATAATACGATTTCAGATATAATGGAATTAACAAATTACGTTATTCGAGAGATGCTTGTACACATAAGCACACACACACAATGTAATTCCAAGAAATGGTACATGCAGTTCTTTTATTTTTCAAGTAGACTTACTTGCAATATTCTTACATATGGTCCGAGGACAAGGATAATATCATTCAAAGTTTCGTCGATTCCGAGCCCATCACTCAAGAGATCAAAGAGAAGTTCATGGAGTATGACAATTTAGTCAATGAGATTCAAAATCTGCCAAAGAAACACGTAGTCGGCCCTATAGAAATTACCATGGGTAGTGATTTAATTTTTCTTTCTTTTTTTTTTTTTGAATTTACATAAACATATTGAGATAAAATGACAATGAAACTGTAACAAATGTTTAGACAAGTTGAAGTTAGCATTTCTGGTTGAAGCACGTGTATGGAAGATATTACTCGGGCAGAAGTTGTCTGTTACTTACAAGGAGAAATTAAAAAGGATCACGGAATACATAAACGAGAAGAACAAGGTTTTAGCCAGGGAAATAAAGGACCTGGAGGACGTAAGGATCGCGATGAAGTGTTTAAGCGAGATACGTGACGATTTCATATCGTTGGACATAGAATTGATCTTGATCGAGGAAACGTACACATTGATGGGGAAGTTTAATATTCTTGTCTCGAAGGAGGAACAGGATATCGTGGATGGTTTACGATACAATTTCACAAACATGTTGAACACGGTAATTATTCCTGAGAAATTGTAACCATTGCACGTTGATATGTTCAGTGTTTCACCAATTGATTGTTATAAGGCGAAACAAGTACAAGCAAAGATATGCGAAATGCAAGAGCCATTGAAAAAGGAATTGACGTATGGTGTTGCGTTATTTAAGCAAGATGTGATCAATTTTGATTTTGACTTTGAGCTGAACGGCCCTATGGTTGAAGGGATACCGGCTAAAGAAGCTAGTGATCGGTATTACTTATGAATAATACATTATTTTGCGACACTATATTTTTTAAAACATTTATATCGTATAAATACAAGATCTTAATTCTGATTGACCAGGCAAGTTAGTTCTCACATTTAGGATATTATAAGACTGGTAGTTCCACCGTTAAATAAATAGAAAGATAAATGTTATTTCCAGTTCATAATTGATCTGTTACTCGCATTTAATTTTCTTAGGCTGATATTCTTTCAAGGCCGTCTCGACGAGTTATGGGAGAAGTACCAGACTTACAGCAGCGGGGAAAGTTTATTCGGTATTGAGATAACAGACTACCCGGCTCTTCATCAAAGAAAGAGGGAAATTAACTTACTGCAGAAGTTATACTCCTTGTATTTGCAAGTTATACGGACGATCGACAACTATTACGAGATACCTTGGTCAGAGATCGATATCGAATCCATAATGACCGAACTAGCTGATTTTCAGAATAGGTCAATATATTTGTTAAACTCAAACAGTTTATTTACTAATTTCCTTTTGCCACGTATATATGTTTGTTACGAGTCCTATCCTTTAACTTTCTAACACAAATATTCAGACTCGTTTCAAATTTTATTAATCTAATCGTGACTATAAGTTGCACATTTGCATTGCAAGCCCAGCATGTGTAATTTTACAATTTTATGTCAGGTGTCGACGACTACCAAAGGCTATGAGAGACTGGCCAGCCTACATCGACTTGAAAAAGAAGATCGACGACTTTAACGAAACTTGCCCACTGTTAGAGCTGATGGCTAATAAAGCGATGCAAGACAGACATTGGGAAAGAATGTCGAAATTATGCAAATACTACTTTGACGTTGAGTCGGAGGCGTTTACATTGGCCAACGTGATGCAGGCACCTTTGTTGAAGTACAAAGATGAAGTTGAAGTACGGTTTCAATATCGTTCACTGATTAATTTACTGATGAATTCACTGATGAATTCACCGATTAATTTACTGATTAATTTACTGATGAATTCACCGATGAATTCACTGATTAATTTACTGATTAATTTACTGATGAATTCACTGATGAATTTACTTATTAATTCGCTGATTAATTTACTGATTAATCCACTGGTTAATTTACTGATTAATTTACTGATTATTCCACTGATTAATTTACTGATTAATTTACTGATGAATTCGCTGATTAATTTTCTGATTAATTTACTGATTAATTTACTAATTAATTTACTGATTAATTCACTGAGTAATTTACTAATTAATTTACTGATGAATTCACTGATTAATTCACTGATGAATTCACTGATTAATTTACTGATGAATTCACTGATTAATTTAATTTTTGTTTTATAAACTTATTAAATGTCGATATGTGCTGTACGTATATGGAAGAATTATTTATAGAATGACTCAATAAGATGAATAATTAATATTTAATATATTTTATACATATTAAATACTTAATATATATTTTAATCTTTTCATATTTTCGCAGGATATATGCATAAGCGCAGTGAAGGAGCAAGAAATAGAGAGCAAATTGAAACAGATCATAGCAGAATGGGCGATTGTGGATTTACAATTCTCCACGTTCAAGCAGAGAGGAGAATTGCTCTTAAAAGGCATGGAAACGTTGGAGATAATATCTCAACTTGAAGATAGTTTGATGATCATCAGTTCACTGTTGGCAAATCGGTATTTAATTCATATGAGGGAATTATTTAACACTGAATGAACAATATTGTTATCACTTGCGTGATATAATTTAGATATAACGCGCCTTTCAAAAAGGACATACAACTGTGGCAAAATAAACTCAGCAATACCTCGGAGATCTTGGCAAAATGGCTGAATGTTCAGAATCTATGGGCTTATTTAGAAGCTGTGTTCATTGGCGGAGATATATCGAAACAACTTCCAGCGGAGGCGAAACGTTTCAACGTAAATAATCAATCTCTGAAAGCTGTCAGCAAAAAAAAAAAAAAGTTATCTTTGGGTTGTTATAAGCAAAATTTTACCTCGTTTTTTTTCTTCTTTTTCTTTTCCTACTGAGGAAGACAAATTGCAATGATGATATTGAAAACAAAATTTCACACGGGGTAAAATCTTATCTGTGTTAGTTTTTAAGATCAGTTTCAAATTCCGATAGTCCGGTAGTATGTTAAACATTACAGAACATTGACAAAGCGTGGATAAAGATAATGTATCGAGCACGTGAGAGGGTGAACGCAGTGGAAACTTGCACAGGAGATGAAACAATGGGACAATTCTTGCCACATTTGTTGGAACAGTTGGAATCTTGTCAGAAATCTCTCAGCGGGTATCAAAATTCATTCCTTTAACACTGTCGTTAACATTGCTGTTCTGAAATTTTATATGTGTGTAATCACTTTAACAGTTTAAAAATAGATACTTAACATTGTAAAGAAATCTTCAGCATAAAATATATCTATTTTTTTTTTAAATATTTCCTTCCAAATTTAGAAAGTTTTCTAAACGCCAGAGAAATAAATTTCATCGTGAATGCTAGGAACAGGTAGAGAGAATGCGTTTGAAATTAATTGAAGCGAAATAATATATTTACCTGTGCAGATATTTGGAAACGAAACGAAGCATATTTCCAAGATTTTGTTTCATATCAGACCCAACGTTGCTAGAAATACTCGGCCAAGCAGCAGATTGTCACACCATACAGAAATATCTCGATGGTTTCTTCGACAATATAGGAAAAGTAATAATTGATCTAAATATCTTTTCTCTTTTACAATTAGATCCGCGCACAATTTGGATTTTCATCTTTGATTGCAGTTGGAGTTTCACGAGAAAGAGTATGAAAGGATCGTAGCCATGTATTCGCGCGAAAATGAGAAAGTGTTAACAGAGAAGGATGTTATATGTACAGGGCTCGTGGAGAATTGGTTGAACACTTTGTTAATGGTTCATCAATTCTCTGTTGGCAGTGTAATCTCCCAAGGGTTGCTAACTCTTCCCAACGAAGACTTCGATATTATACAGTTGATCGACAATTCAATTTTACAAGTACAGTTTCAATAATTCTGATCCTTGATCGTACTTTTCTTAAATTAAAAAAAAAAAAAAAACGTTAATAAAATCGAACAAATAGAACTTAAATGTTTTATTCGATGTTAAATGAAGAGTAGAAATAGTAGTATTATTTGCTTTCTTCGTTCAGCCTTTAAGAGTTAGATTGGACAAATAGTAAATTTGATAATTTGGTAGTTAGACTGATCAAATAGTAAGTTTGATAAAGTAACTCGATTTCATAACACACAAAAGAAATAATCGATTATAAATTACAATGTAACGTAACAGGTAGGATTATTAGCCTTGCAAGTCTTATGGACTCATGACTCTGAAGTAGCTCTCAACACAGCAAGACGAGACAGAAACGTAATGAAGCGAACAAACCAATGGTTTCTCGATTTATTGAACAGTCTCATTGAAGTAACCGTTAAAGACTTATCGAAGTACGCGAGAGCGAAGTACGAGGCATTGATTACTATTCATGTGCATCAAAGGTATATATATATATATAAAAGGTATATATAGGTATATATAAGGTATATATAGGTATATATATAAGGTACATATATATATATTAACAACTAACTTTGTTGATATATAATATATATATATAAACTAACTATATATATATATAAACTAACTGTTGATATCTAA